GTTAACGTTGTCGTCACAGTGTTTAATTATTTTAAAAAGACAGTTTTTCCATTTCCTGAAAAGGCAACACAAGCTCATTGGAAAAACACACCTGTGGCACCATTTTCTGAAAACACAAAATACGTAATAATATGTACGTACTGCTCCGAGACAAGAAGGTTGAGGAGCCAAATGCTGTTTTATTGAAAGGGTAATCCACAATCGTAGTCGAAATCCAGGCAAGGGTCATACACAAACAAACAATCACAACAAGGCAGGGAACATGGGCAAAAGAGTGATCCACAGAACCGGACAGAAATCCCAAAACCAAGAGACATGAACCCAGGGAGAATGCACAGAACTGCAGTTTAACACTAAACAAGACTGCAGATAATGAGAGAAAACCAGGCTCATATGGGGTGAGCTAAACAAGATAATGAGACACAGGCGAAAGTGATAATAGATGATGGTCTGGGCAAAGGATTATGGGTAATGGAGTCTGTGGATGTGTTGTGATTGTCGCATTTGCCCTGCTTAGTTGGGGACATTTAATATTCAACAATATTATTGATCTGTCATTATATGAGAACTGAACTAAGCTGGACGATGACATCACTGTTTTATATATAAATGAACTAAATTAATAACATTTTTACAACAAAAATGAACCATCACTGAACTTACTTAAGCTGGGCAATGATGTTATTTTCTTCTAGAAACAAACTTTGTTTCATTATTTTCCTGTTGTCTCTGTAAAGCTGCTTTGAAACACTCAGTATTGTAAAAAGCGCTGTATACATAAAGTTGACTTGACTTTTAGCGCCACTAACCGGACATTTCACTTCAGAACTGCGGCGATACAAACAAACCACAACGAAATGAAACGTTGCCATAATCATGTTCCTCCGTCCCGGAAAAAAACGAAACATGCTTTTAGCGCCACTAACCGGACATTTCACTTGGAGACTGTCGGAAACGTGAGCGATGCAGCGCGTGTTGTTATATGTTGTAAATGTTGCCACAGGCGTGTTTTTTTAATGAGCGGGGGCTTTGAAAAGAAATGTGTTTTTGAGACACGTTGGTGTCCAATTACATTGAGGAGAAATTATATTTTTTTGAAATTATAATTTATATTTCACTGCAAAGGTAAAACACATGAGAATAACAATAATAATTTGCTACATTTGTTGGGCTTTTCTCGGCACTCAAAGCTTTATCTCCTCAACCACCATTAACAGCATCTCAGGCTGACGGCAGATACACGTTGTTTTATTAATTATAATTTACATGCATTTTGTTTTGTTGACCACAATACTGTTGTTGATCATTTTTGAGAGGGGCACTTTTGATTCAGTTTGAGCCTCGAGTCGTGAAATTGATATGAAGTATAACACTGTTGTGCCAACCTATACCAGTACCAGTGCTAGTTTTAAAGACTTTTAAAGTTTACATTTCACATGAAGAGCAAGCATAAAATATACAGTATCTATTGTAAATGCCAATGCTCATATTTAGTAAGAAATAGTGCATCTCTTTGACAAGAAATGGGTCAATTCAATAAAAAGCATAATTAAGATATTTCCTTATTATTATTTCATATCAGGGTTCAGTGACATTTCACAATATTTTTGCATAATTTTTCACCTCTAAAGCATTGTAAACAATGTTTTGATGTTTCGAGTCTTAATGATGATATTTCTGTGCTCACGACGCTGTCATTATGGCACAGACAGAGACATCGATATGTTATTGTAATTGTGTCATGAAAAGCTCCCAATATCAGAGCCCTGTTCGACCCGGCGGAGCTCGAGTCCTGTAGGTTTCTCTAGCTGAGATGTGATCATTACACCTGACTGATGGCTTGGATGACATGTGGCCAGAGGGAGTCTGGTAAACCGCAGGTCAATTGGAAGCTGTAATAATGAGTGATGCGATGGACAGGTAAGGAGAAGAGTGATTGATATCAGATTTGCTGAGAAGTCCATTTAGACACTGGAAGTAGGTGGACAATATTCAAGAATAACTTGTGAATATTATATTAGAGAACTAAATTGGACTGAAAAAACTTGCCCAATGAAAAAGCAAATGCATGACTTATAAGTAATTATAAAAAATAATAGGTTACACTTTATTTTAAGGTGTCATTGTTACAGTGTAAAGTGCTGAGTAATATTAAGTAACTACATGTACTTACTATAGGGTTTGGGTAGGATTAGGATTTGGTTGAGGGTTAGTTGCATGTAATTATGCATAATTTACTGTATGGTAAGTACATGTAACATATGTAACAAGGACACTGTAAAATAAAGTGTTACCAAATAATATAATTGTGGCGGCGGCTACTATGCAGTATAGGTCTAAATGAGTCTTTATAAATATATGTATAGAATAGTAATACTTCAAGTATATAAGTATAAATGGAGCTATAATTCAGCACACACTTCATAGAAAGTGTTACTGGAGAACTCAAAGTATTTTAGTGCTCCAAAAATGTATAGTTTGTTGAAAAAATACTTAAAAAATATATATTATAGAATGTTAACCTATTCAAGTTGACCCAAACAAATAATGATGGATTTTTTAAATAGCATCATATGGGCTCTTTAAGGTTTCAGTTCTAGATACATTTGCTTTACTGTAATCATTCCTGTAGCTGGACTTCTGAGAAAAGACTTTTTTTTTCCTATTATGGAAAAAAGAAAAGATTTCCCCTATTATGTATATGTCCAGGTCACTCATTATAGAGTGTGTGATGGGATGAGTCCGGAGGCTCTTGGCGACGGCTGGTATTCTCAGGCCACTAGAGATGAAGATACCGAGCGCTGAGCTTCTCTGGATGGGAGATGGTCTATAGCTGATTAAGTGCTTGAGGATTGGCTCAGAATGAGCGACGAGAGCCGTTGCCCAGTGTCATTCTTCACCCGGACTGAGGGATCTTTATTTTCAGAGAATCAGAGGGACACTCGTTCCCTGTGTGAATGTTTCTCTCCGTTTCATCCTTGAATCTTTCAGAAAGAGTATTATATACTGTCCTGCTGCTGTTTAATTTTTTCTGTCACCTTTATTAAAGAGTGAATGATTCAAACTTGCATCACTAACAAAACAGCATTATGGTAATTCTACGTTTTTTTAAAATATATATATAAATGAAAAAATATTGCTAGTATCATGGTAGTCTTTGATGTAAATACCATGGTGTTCGATTGCTTTCTGCACTTCAACCTCGGGTTATCATCGTTCTAAACCCTGCTTTAACCCCACGTAGAGGAACGTGTCACACTTTTAATGTAGAAGAGGGTTAGCATTTTGTTTTACCCCGGGTTATGAAACTTTGGTGCTGTCAAACCTGCATTGCAGTGCCAAACTTGTGCAGTGTGAAATGATGCGGTGTTGACATGTTACTTGATGCTTTGCAACCAACAGCCAATCGCGTGCCTTATATTCACATGCTTTGGAAAGTCACAGAAACACCACGCTTTGTAACTATAAGCTGTGTTTCAGTATTTGCACAAAGCTAGAGCCTTTATATAAACATATCTTTTACAGCATTCATCCAATCAATGACACTGAAACCGCAAATAAGAACGCTAAAGATGTAGTACTTCAGTTCACATTTACTTTCCACCTCATCATCCAAGATGTTCATGTCTTTCTTTCTTCAGACGAAAAGAAATTAATGTTTTTTTTCTCCATATAGTGACTTCAATGGGGTCCAACGGTTTGAAGGTCCAAATGGCAGTTTCAGTGCAGCTTCAAAGTCTCGACACGATCCCAGCTACATGATTTTTTTTTGTAAAGGGCATTTGATGTCTTTGCAGGTTGGCTTTGTAAACACTGGGTCTGTTCTTCCGCCTACGTCACACTTGACCTTTCAACGTGATTACGTAATGTGTGTCGCTTCTCAGAGCTAGTGCAAGACCAGTATTCGTGGTTAAAAGTATATAAATGTTTATTTGTTTTATAAAATGGCCAATGGTTTGTCTAGATCAGACTCTTATTCCTCGGCTGGATCGTGTCAAGACTTTGAAGCTGCACTGAAACTCACATCTGGACCTTCGACCCGTTGGACCCCATTGAAGACACTATATGGAGAAACCCTGGAATGTTTTCCTCAAAAACCTTCATTTCTTTTCGACTGAAGAAATAAAGACATGAACATCTTGAATGACGTGGGGTGAGTACATTTTCAGGAAATTTTAATTCTGACGTGAACTAATCCTTTGACCCGGGGTTTAGGAGTGTGAAATGGCAGCGTATATGAACATCCAGGATTAAGTCTTAAAGGGGAACTTGGCAACTCTAGCCATTTCTTCGCTGATTTTCACTTTTGTTGGGGCGTATATTTCACAACACTGTCGTAAAAAATCTTACTTGCGGCGCCCTCCTCCCCCTTTCTAGCGCTGCTCATGTGCATGTGTTGTTATCAGAGCCGGCCAACTTTATCATGTGGAGCTACGTCTACCGATCATAGAATTATGTCAAATTGCCATAAAGCAGTTCTCGTTTCTCGCTCGTTCTCGCTTCTCACGAGACTTCCTATTTCCAACTTACCTGGACGTTAATCCCCATGTTGCAAGGATGTTTTTCCGCCTGGGAACGCTCGGCTCGGGGAAAGCCACCATTTTCACCAGAACAGGTTATTGAACCATCCAAATGATTTCTAAACGGTTTTATTAAGTTGAAATAGTTGCCAAGTTCCCCTTTAACCACGGGTAAATCATGAGCAGTGTGAAAGATGAAGCAAGATAACTGGATTTAGTTTACCCAGGGTTTATAATGACCTAGGGTTAACTATTTCAAGCGTGAAAAGGCCTAATATCATGGTGTTACCATTTGCAATCTCATTAAATCTATCCCAGGTTTATCAATATTTGCATTATGGCATGGATAATTTATTAATAGGTGGTGTGTTAGTGTCACAATCCCCAAAATATAAGCTTTCTTTTCTTTTTATAACATAAACGGTTTTGTGGTTCAGTGGTTTGATGATACACTTGAGTAAGCAGTGCATGTGTTTTCAGTTCGCCAGCGGTGGTGAACCCCGAGCTGAAGGTGGAGGAGCGTCCGCTTGTGGAGAGCGGAGAGGAGACTCCAAGACCAGACTGACATCTCTGATCACGCAGACCAGGATCTCCACTCAAGATCCTCCCATCTCCATCAACACCCAGGAGACACACATATGATGCCAACAACGGCCTGATCTGACTGGAACTGTGACTACACATCAAAATGGTTGTTCAATGCAACACACGCCAAGCAGTTGAGATTAATTGTCCCTTCATGGTGGAAAATTAAAATCAAAAGGCGATTTGATATCATTGACAAAACGGCAATACTCTCCAGAGAACATCAGCATCATCAGAACCTCACCAAGAACATGTCAAGTTCAGATTTCATCTTAAAATCAAAAGAAATATATATTTTGCTAACAGAAAATTTCGATTTTGTTTTGTTCCAAATTTGATGCAATTAAATAAGAGTTAAAGGGGTGGTTGATCACTTTTCTAACTGTAGTTAGTGTGTAATGTTGCTGTTTGAGCATAAACAACATCTGCAAAGTTACGACGCTCAAAGTTCAGAGCAAAGGGAGATATTTGCTTTTATTGCTTTTTTAAGGACTACAACAAACGGCTGGTAGGAACTACACGAGCTTCCTCCCGGGTTAGTGACATCACTAACCCTAAAATTTACATAAACCCCGCCCCCGGGAATGCAATTTATAGATAATCATGACAGAATATGAGTCTCCTGAGTCTCTCCATCTTTATCCGACTCCGGTTTGAACATAAAAGGCTAAAAGTTTTTTACATTTTCAGTGAATCTCTGTGTGAGGTAATCGAAGCTCATTTGCATTTAAAGGGACACACAAAAACTGTGCGTTTTTGCTCACCCTCAAAAAGTGACAATTTTAACATGCTGTATAAAAATATCTGTGGGGTATTTTGAGCTAAAACTTCACATACACACTCTGGGGACATCAGAGATGTATTTTACATCTTTTGAAAAGGGCATTATACCACCCCTTTAAACGCCCTTTTCTCAGTTATCGTTTTCGGTAACACTTTACTTAAAGCTTTATATATAATGCATTATAAAGGTATTTTTAATGCAGCATTTTTTATGCACCTTATAATGCATTGTATAATCTCATTAATAATTAAAACCACAGTTATAATACTGTTATATATTCATTGTTACTCCAAAGTTTAATGGATTAAAACTCAAGACAAAACAACCAATTTCAGATGTAACAAGGAGTCTGCAAATATTATAATGCATTTTAACTCTGGTTACAATTATTTATGAAAACATGTAATGTTTATACATTGTTTAAAGACCCACTCCGATGAAAATAATGTTTTTCTAGGTGTTAACATGTTCTTGTGGCATTTTTCTGATGTTAGAGGACATATCTTGAGAAAAATCAGCTCAAAGTTGTATTTCTGAGTATTTCTACATTCAAATGGCTGTGAATCAGTAGCAGACGCTAAAATGCCGGCTAAAATAGACTGGAGTTGTGACGTAGTAACTCCACTGGGCGTCTCCACACGCGACGTCTTGGAGTGAAATAATGATCGGTGATAACTTTGATTAACTTCGGATAATAATAATTAACGTGTATATAATACTGTTGCCCCACCGGTATTGGGGGTGTAAGCTAGCGGGAGAGACAGAGCTCTCAGCAACGGGCAGGGGGAGGGGCGTCTCCGTGCCAACGGCTCCGCCCACAACGCAGAGGCGAATTGCTAATGAGCTACTGCCGCTCTGCTGAAGCGAAGTCCCAGAAAACGGCACAGGTTTTGTGATTTTGGCTAAAAATGGCATAATCATAATTTAAAGACCACTGGGAATGTTTTAAAATAGCTCAAAATATGATCGGAGTGGGACTTTAAACATAATGTTTACAGTTTTAATAATTATTCGAACGACAGGCTTACATTTTTTATTCATTTTTTCTTGTTGATTTTGCTGTGAAATGTGACTCATTTTTGTAACATTCACCTAATAAGAGACTCTGAATAATAGACGTAATTACAGCCGTCCAGTCAAAGAGAGATTGCTCTGTAAATGGCCTTACTGTCCGCGCCACATCTACAGTCACCGTGCCTTTGATAAGATGTGGCCTTTTCAATTCAGTTAATAATGAATATATGCCATGTCTAAGACATTTCTTTGTACTGTTTGAACTCAAAATGCAAATTCATATTATAAATTTTATTCTCATGCCTATAGTTTGTGGTCTAGATTCGTTGGGTTTTGACGTACATTTCTTACGGCCTCTTTCTCCAAAATCCCCCTTGCTTGCAAAAACCACTAAGATATCTCAAATGTGTCGTATGTTTTTTTTTTTTTTTTTACCTTACAATCAATTTTCATTTAGAGCACAGAATAGGTCTGATATTTGATTAGTTAATAAGCCATTTACTGCAGATATGCAGTTCTGTCAAAACCTGCATTAATGGAGCCTGGAGAAAATCAATATCGGCCCAGTCAATACTTGTCTGACTTACTCTAGTCCAGGGTTTCCTAACTGGGCGTTCTCTACTGTACAGAACATTTTCCCATCCAGGTGGGCTTGGGAAAACAAGAGACATGCCTTATTATATCTAATATACTGTATCTAATATTTTTTCGTTTAGTGTGTGTTGTCTTTTCATGAACACCATTCTTGTTGAGTATTTTTGGACACATGAACAGACTTTCACAGTTTGTAGTTTTCTTGATATCAGTTTTGTTGCAGTCTCACACATCTGTCCAGGTAAGTTTAACCATGATGAATCAGGCACACCTTAGCTTGTTTAACATGCTAAAATGATTCCTAGAGTTATCATGATTGAAACTTTTACTACAAACCCCCCACAGAGCCTCAGTGGGGTTAAGGTCAGGTAAAACACTAGTATATATATGATGTATAGAGTCATTGTCATGTTGAAAAAGTGCCCAATAACGCAGGGAATGAGGAGAGGGTATACCATCTTTCAAAGTGTTGTATTACATGTGTGAATTCATGACGCCATTGATAAAGCACATCTGCTCATCACTCCAGGGCAAGATGTGTGTGGCTTTGGCATGCTGTGTCATCGTCACATGTGTTCTGGCAATGTGTTTGATGTAAACATTAAGAGTAGGAAGATATGGAGCAGGTGAGATGAGAAAAAGATAAGTTAGCCATATCATATCTTGGAAAATGGGACAACTCACTATTTGTACGTTGTGCATAAAAACACTGGATTTATGCCTCAAGATGAGCATAAATTCTCAAAATGCTGTATAACATTTTGAAAAAATTCGGCCCCTGTTCATGTAAAGGTGATACAAATAACATTTGTGAATTACTGTTCATGCAAATGAGCTAATCTGACAATTATTAAATCTCAAATCGATTACAGTTTTTCTCAGTCGCTTTGGTACATTTCTCAGATCAGAATTGAAATTCTCAAAACGACCTGTTCAATCTTCACATCATCGTGTCACTCGTGCACATCACAAAAGCAGTTTCTCATTTCTTTGAACAAGTTGCAAATGCTTTGGTACGTCCATGCAAATGATTATGTACAATTCTCTGCTGTTTCCTACATTATCAGTCGCTTATGTCATGTTGATCTAAATGTATTATAATGGGTCTCTGTTGAATAGTCTCTCCCCCCACAACATTCAGGCATTAGTTCATAGCAGAAGTCTTTACATGCAAAATGGTTGAACGAGTCATAATCAAGCATATTTTTCCATACATTTCCATTAGACTTTTTTTCTAAATCTGTCCTGTTCACATTTCTACTTTTGTTTTTTTCTTTGTGCTATGTCTTTCCTTTCTGTATTTCAATGACATGGTCTGTCAACAGATTACAGTACAAACAGTAAAAGCGTAAAAGTGAATCTTGTCCTGTCTCATGCAATCAAACTCCCACACACACTAAGGTGTGTAACCTACAATTTACAATAATTGTCATCAAAACTTTATCCATAGTTTACATCAGAACATCTCCAGAGTACACTGTTATATTGACAACATGACTAAGCATTTTGACTGTGTCATCCGTACACAACGACACAAGCACTTGTCATTCTGATGCACTGACATGTTCACTGACACAGATATTTACTTTTGAGAGATGAACTGAGGAGTTTGAGCAAGAGACTCGCTTTTGCAGGTGTTTTGCTATTTGTACAAATTGTTTTGAGAAACGCACTTACTGTTTTACAAATGTCGAGGATGATTCGAGAAATGTACCAAAGCGACTGAGAAAAACTGTGTGACGTTATAAACAAAAGCTCTACTGTTGAACCAACATGATATGAACAACGGATGTGTGACAGATACACAATGTCAGGAATGGTTGTGAATACATAGGCAATTTTTTCAATGATCGTACTATGGTGTTAAACCACCCTGATCTTGAGTTTATGTTTTATAAAGTGACTTTAATTGAACATTTATCTTGAAGTTGACATTATATAATTGACATGATATGCAAATGAGAAAAAGAAAATCATATGTGGCCTTGTAGTAAACTATATAAATTAATTTCCTTTCTTATTTTGGTATTTTGAACAGGTTACAGATTTAATTTTGAGTCAGTGATTAGTCATTAGTACTAGAATTAAGAGTCTGACTTGCTGTTGGATCTTTTCAAAGGCTCTCCACAGGGTCACATCTTAGGCCTCGGACACACTAGACGATTTTCACATCTTAACCCATTTGTAAAACTGTGGGAGACCACAGACATAAGGGCATTTTTAATCGATTTTTAGCATTATAATCCTATGAATGCACACACTAGAAGATTCGTCCGGACCGCGAGACCACACATCTGTCAATTTACCATTTCCCAGGGCTGGGAATCGAATCCCACAAATAATCGATTTTAAATAATCGCCATGGGAATTGAGAGTCGATTCCAACAGTTGAGCCTGGTTAACCCTCTGGGGTCCTTCGCCCATATGGACCCGAAGCATTTAAATAATTATTATTTTTTAAATCATAGCTTTATCGGAATGGTTCAAAATTTGGTGACTTTGTTGGTACTTGGTATATGAACACCCCAAAAAAATGGGGACAGGATTTGAATAGTCCAAGTGGTTGTAAAAAAAATAGTCACACTCAGGACCTTCGGGTCCAAATGGACCCCCATAGGAAATGAATGGGAAATTGGCAAAAATGTGAAAATACAGAGTTTTTTTGTGCGTACAATCTACAAATCAGCCACGATCCAGAAAAAAAGCACACAACAGTGAAGGGGTGAATCTATAAA